GTTAGGGTACTTTTTTTTTCCTTTCATTCTAGAAAATGTTCAAATACTTAAACATGGTTTCTAGGAAGTGTTGTCACCTGCTTCGCACAAGCAACAATTCTGTAATAACAGATACACCTGTCAAGAAAGATCGTGTCAATACAAATGTTCTGTTCTCAAAGACTGAATACAATTGTGCTATTGTGAGCAGAAGTGCCACTTGTTTTTCTTTGTGAATTATTATATGAGTAGAGCAAACTAGTCCTGCACCTGTTTGACCTGGGGAACTGAATCAGTTGCAAATACCAACTTTTAGATACATTCTGAGCTTGTTTAACCTTTTATTTTATTTTTTTGGTCAGACTCTCAGGCTAGATTGTGTTACACAGATTATAATGACTGTGGTAGCAATTTTGGTTGTATGCTTGTTTTGCAACAAGTATTCTGTTGCAATCATTGAAATATTTATATTTAAGCATCTTGTACCATCATACTAATACTAATAACACTAGTTAGTCTTTACTACAATAGTACCAATAGGGACAGAAAATATTTATATCTACAATGCATCAGTATCATTTAGTGCAACCTTTCTCAGCCTGGCACTTTCCAGGTATGTTAGGACTACAACTCCCAGAATTCCCCAAAGAACACAGCCCAAATAATGATTGGAGTTGCAGCCCATCACATCTGGATGACACCTGTTGGGAGAGGCCAATTGATTAAATAATTCCCATAGGTAAAAGTCAGCCTTCTTGATGGCCCACTGTCATAGCTGAGGATAATATTCTTATTTTTAACATGTCTGGAGCATACTGAGTTGGGGAAGAAGAACCTACATAGGAATTTCAGTTAAATACTTATATATCTGTTTGCTGCCATCTAATGATTGCCTGGAGTTTTGCAACCCAGATATACTAGCTCAACCTATTTTTTTACTTTCAGATTCAAAATAATATAGCATATTATAGTCCACAACAGCTCAACTATGTGGGTTAATTCACACATGCACCCTGCCATGATCTCTTCTCCAATAGAAAAGCAGCCTTCTTTATGAGAACAAGGTTTTTCTCTGTGTTGATTCTTCCTCCTTAAAAAAACAGTATGAGTACAGCCATAAATCTAAGTGTTTGATCTCAAGCTGTATGTGATTCTGAATGAACATTCAAGTTGCATGAATGCTTCTGAAAGTAATAGCAGCTCTGGAGGTACAATCGTAGTCAAGACTGTAGCATGTAGGTGTAAAAGTTTAACCATGGTTCAAACAAACTGATACTTGATTTGGGAAGGAAGCTCTCAAAGGTGTTTTAAGGTCACCTATTGTCCTGAGTGTAGAAGATGGGCACATGCATGTTCCCACCCATATACCATGTACAGAGAAATTTTCTTTGGCCACAATGAATATGTATTCAATATCTGGTCCACCTCTTCATACCTGATTGGTTTGTAAGTGGGTATCAGTGCTTAGTAATTGTTATTTCATTATATGTAGCAACTTGCAGTCAAATCAAATAAAGTCCTTACACTATCTTCATATCCATGTTTTCTTATATTATTATTATTTATTTACTTATTTATTTATTTTAACATAAAACTAGAGACTTTGATTCAGGACCCAGTTTATCACTTGCCATTCCTTAGACTAGCATCAACGTTTTTTTATTTTTTATTTTTTTTTATTATTGGAAAAATAAAAGGTAGGGCACATTAGTTAGTGTTGAGAATGTGAAATAATTGTGATTTTTTTAAAAAAAAAAACTCTTAAAATATGCCCTGATGAATTAACTGGAATAAGTATACTTCAAAATTACTTTTTAAACAACTTTTAGGCAACCAGGGGAGGTTCAGATTTTGATGGGAGCAGCTGCATTTAGGAAGGAAGTTTTTCCTGAAATCTCATTCTATTCTAAATCGCATCCCCTCTTACATCTGATAGTTTAGGGTTAGGGTACTTCCTGGATGTTGGAAGTGAAATTCCAGGCAGCTAGAATTCTGGCTGTTGCATTTCACAATACCTGAAAGAGACATGGCCAGATGGGAGAAGACTGAACTAGCCCCACCACAGGAAAAAAAGAACCAAAGGCAGATATCTGTATCATGCCTGAATCCAAAGGTGGTTAAAAAGAAGAAAAATAATAGGTTAGCATCCCAGCTTGATAGAAACTTTACTCTGAAGTAAGGGGGACATTTTTCTTGGATCTCCCATATCCTTTTGGCTCCAAGTTAATTTCTTCAATTCTCAGAGATGCATGGTTTAGTTATTAAACTTAAACAAAGACTATCAGCACTAATATAAACCTGTTCCAGTTTATTTATTCTAAAAAATAAGTAAGAGAATTCTTAATTTATATCTACTGCCCAGTGACACTTAGCTGTTTTCTAATGATCAAAATATTGTATCAATAGCCCTTGGCAGGTATTATCAAGCTTAACATGAACAATTGTGGGAAGTAGGTATAGGATTGGCAAACGTTTCTCATTCCACCTTCCTTACATGTGTTTGTTATGAATTCTTTCTTGACATCTTCATTCTCACTATTAGTCATGTTGAGGTGGGAGTGCCATTATTAAAGTAACCAGATGGCACTACCACATGCAAGAAGGTTATCAGAGGCTTGATGGAACCCCCCAAAGTTTGCACTAGCATATAAAAAATAATTTTGAAAAATTATTTGGTGACAATCCAAAGCACCCTGATAATTGAGCTTGGTCAGTAGGCATGGAATAGGGGAGGGGAGAGTAAAGTAGAATAGAATGGAGTGGAACCACGGAAGAAATCATGGTTGGCTGACTGGTACTTTGAAGAGGAGGTCTCCACGCTTCAAGAATTTTTTGCACGTAGTCGACATGGTTAACATATTGTTCCCATAAAATACTGTCTTAATAAACCTGTTTTTAAAAATTCATCCAAAATATTAACCATGTGCTATTTTTTACATTATAGGGCTGTTAGGTTTTGCACTGATGCTTGTAATTTTTTCTTTAATGTTAGTCCGAAGGCAAAAAGAGTTTTTGTATTGGCAATGCATGGCTCACTGATTTCTGCCTCGCAAGCCTCTCTTAAAGGCAGCTATGTAGAGTAGCAGGTTTTCTGGCGGTGGTGGTGGCAATGATGCTTATGCTGGAGGTGGTTTATTTCTTGTCCCCATCAGACTAGAAATCTGCCCAGTACAAAAACATACAAAGTAAGCTATAGCTA